TTAGGGAATGTTTAATTTTACTATAGGAATTGCCTTATTGACATAACTTTATAGCAATAAATACCAGAACTTAATCGTGATTTCATGTGTCTTCTTTTGGAGTTTTCTGGAGGATTTAGAGGAAGTGTAGAAGGAATAACCTCCAGCATCTGATTCGACCCCTGATCTCCACTGTAACAAGCTACCTGGTGCACGTGGGCCCTCAACCACAATAATCCTGAGGGTGGCGCCCGAGATAACCGTTAAAGCAAGAAAGGGAAAAACCGAAAGGGCGCTACAGCATAGTGTGCGGTAAAGTGCTACTTTCCATTTGCAAATACGTGCGGTAAAGTGCACTTTACCGCACGCTCGTAGGTAAATACATGAACAATGCACATGTTATAAAAAATTGTTATAAACAAACAAAAAAAAAACATAAAAATGGAAAAAATGATACTTGTATAAATAATTGAACTCTCAAAAACAAAATAACAATTATTCAACTGACCTGTAATAACTCCTTGACACACACACTAATAACAAATTATTTATTTATTTATTTATTTATTTATTTATTTATTTATTTATTTATTTATTTATTTATTTATTTATTTATTTATTTATTTATTTATTTATTTATTTATTTATTTATTTATTTATTTACGGGCATGGCCCAATTTCATAAAGTAATGTAATACATATAACATTTTATACACAGAATAAACACGTTTTAATAATAATTATTTTTGAGGCAAACAAAAAATAGCATAACAGTTCCACTATTCTAATTTTAATTTATATCATTTTGAGGTTTGAGGTATAGAGATTTCAAGCTAAGGCACTCAACTGCTTTATAAACGCCGAGTTACTTGAAAAGAAATCAAGCCAGGAACACTCGTTTGCCAGTCTGCACGACCTGGATATAAAGTTATTCTGACCGTAGTTGGTTCTATGCGCCGGTACGGAAAAAGTATCCCTAAGGCGAGTTTCCCTAGAAGGCACATGTAAACCTATTTAATGCAACAACAAGGGGCAATTATATCTATTATGTATTAAGTAATATAGCATCCTAAGATCTTTCACATTCCGTCGGTGTTCAAGGCTTCTGATATGGATATTTGATCCCAACTGTGGGTATGTCAATTCGGGAGTATTAAGTTTAAAAGCGATGAATTTTAAAAATTTGTGTTGAACTTTTTCTATGTTTTGGATATGTACATTGTAGTGGGGATTCCATACGCAAGAAGCGTACTCGAGATGAGTCCTTATCAATGAGCAATATAATTGTTTAATCGCTCTAGTGTTAGTGAATTCACGGGTTATACGCTTTATAAAACCGAGCATCTGGAGAGATTTCGATAAGGCTTTGTGGATGTGTGGGATGAAAGTGAGCTTGGAGTCCAGCAGAAGACCTAAATCTTTGATTTCGGGGACGTTTTCGAGTATATCATTTTCAATCGAATAGGAATGTACAAAAGGCGATCTGGACTTATGGAAAACTATCGAATAGCACTTTGAGGAATTAGATTGAAAAATCAATTTATTGCAAAATAAAAATGAAAATTGAATAATGAATAATTACAGACACGCGTCTAGGGACCACTCCAGCTTCTTCTGTAGTCTAGTTGCGTATTCCTCTGTCTCCCGTTCGCAGTACCATTCTTTGTGGTCGAACGCGGTTACCCCTTAATTTGATGGCGCAGAGATGGTTGCAACATTTATTTTTCTTTACTGAATGTTTTTTTTTTAAGTTAAAATTTGAAGAAATAATATTTAAAATAGGTGGTTTTTCTCAGTCAACTCCATGTTGTTCCAATTACCAGTTGGCAAAGTTTCTGCGCTAGCTATGATCGGGTGCCTTCAGCTCTGGTTTTTGTAGGCATGAAAACTTCCATGACGACAACGCCTAACACTAGTCTCGTCTTTCAGTGCAAATGTCCGCTCAAATTTGGTGATCAAATTTTCAACAGCGAGCCGGGACGCCGAAATGTTCACGTAATCTGCGTATTATCATTGTAAAGTTTTCTCTATTTCTCTAATGAGTTTTTACGATTAATAAACGTTCCTGAAGATTGCAACGCGGCATTTTAATAAATGTCAATGTTTTTACCGAACACATGTCCAATATGGCCGACTTGACGTTTGACAGACAGAAATGGCGCGCGAATTAAAATTCAAGTTCTTGTGGCGACACTATTTACATCTCATGTCTTAAGTACGTCAGAGGGAACCTTGGCACTTATACATTTAACAATGGACTCCATAGTTATAACACCAGGTAGAGTTCAAATATAACCATTCAGAAATTTCGTTCAAGCCATAGCTGATACGGGGTGAACTACTATGGACCTCTATTATAATACACACCTTAAGAATGTGCAAACATTAGATGAGAAGACCTTTAAGCCATAAAAGATCATTCACACGGGCACGCATTTTTCAATTGCTCTGACTTTCTGCATTCTGGGGGGCGATTTTAGCATTAATTAATGAATTTGAATTTGAATAGAATCTCACTCACCTGGAATCATCCCCAGTTGGTTCTCAATACAAAGGAGTAGCGTTCTCATGAGAACAAATTTTCTGTCTGTGTCACTCATATCAGATGCTGCATGGAACTGAGAAAAACAGGGCATTTGTGCTCATACGAACCTTTCTTCCTCGAGAATCAGGCGCCAGCAATAACATGCTACTTATAATATTTTGACTACATTTGGCGAAGCGACATCAAAGCCGAGTTTCGCCCTTCAGAAGAGCAGAATTGAAAGCTGTGTGTTTAATCTTACATAATTTCTTTGTTTCTGTATATATCTGCTACAAGACGATCTACACCAGCAGTTCCCAATCGGTGGGTCGCGACCCCTAAGGGGGTCGAATAGGATTTTTGGAGGGGTCGCATCGCAATGCCAATATCAATACACAGGGACGCGTCCCGAGGTTATCATCTGGGTAAAGCCTTGCTGGACACCCTGTATATATTTTTGCATTTGGCAACACGCCTTTGCGTCCGCATCAAAATCCGCGCAGCGTTGCATTGTGAAAAGTACAGGTTGTGAGTGTTGTGAGTTGTGACTTGCATGTTTTTGAACATACTTGTGCATAATGGCTGAACAGGGACGTAGCAACTCAAAACCGGGCCCTTGTGCAAGACTACAGCGGGCCCCCTTCACCATGTAAAGTGAATGTGACAACATTAAAAATTTTAAACTGGATTACGCATCGGCATTGTTGTGGCAGGTGCGCCAGGTATAATTTGTTTATGATTGTTATGACGACTATCAGGGAGTAGGCCAAAAATGGAGCATTTTATGGACTAGGCCGAAAATGAAGCATTTTACGGACTAAAATGGGTCCGTAATTCATCATTCTTCACCATTTTACAAAAAAATAAAATACAATTTGAAATAGGTACCTAACAATTTAATTGGTCTATTGCACAAGAAGAAATATGGTAATACTCAGCGGTAGCAACATCACAAAAGAAGGTTATAACTAACAGTACAGTTTGAACGAGCATCAATATTGCAGATCTCTGCATGCCTAAATATAATGCAAATCTCCATAAGGCACCCCAGAGGCATCATCAAGTTACCCATTACCAGAAAACCTGGTAAGTTAAGGAACTTCGGATTTGCATTATGTCGAGGCACCCCAGATGACGTCATAAAAGTTATCAGGCAATCTACCTCTCTCAGACAACCTTGTACTGGGACTTGGAGGGCTGACTGAAAAGAAATCTGTAGTAATCGATATTACAATTTTCTGTTTCAGTTAGAAATCGCCAAAGCGAAAAATTATTGCTTGGGCGGGCGTGATGCGGTGATACTACAAGGATGATACACACCTACAGGAATAGGACCTATCGGCCTCGTTTTTGGTAATCGCCGTCATATTGGTGTGTCACCATTTCCGACGTCAGCTGTTTAAACAGCCTACGTCAAGGCCAGAAATAACATGCTGCCTACGTCACAACTGGTGATTAGGCGCGGGGGGATTTGTTACATACAGGACACAGGCCCTATGAGGATAGGCCATCCTGTAGTAGTAGTGTGTATCATCCTTGGTGGTGATATGATTTTTTTCCTTGTGTCCAAAAAGTGACAGGACCCACCGGGCCCCTTCGGGGCCCGGGCCCTTGTGTGCGGCACGACTTGCACGACCTGTTGCTACGTCCATGTGTCTGAAGCATCATAAACAGAAGTTGTGTAAAATCTAAAAGAGGAAATTGACTATCACCTTCAATCCCTTGAGAATAAAATGCAGCGGTATTTTCTCGAGCTATCTGAACAAAAAGCTGCAGTAGTAAGGAACCTGTTTCATGCCTTGTTAGATGCTGCTGACGTTCCTGATGAAGTGCAGGATGAGTTTTTACAGCTGAGGAATGATTTCTCAGCACTTGCCATATTGCAGGAAAAACCCTTGCTTGAATTTTGGTGTGTCATGCATAGTTCATATCCTAATGTCGCCCTGCTTTTTTTCCGAACACAAATACCATTTGTATATCTACCTACCTTTGTGAAAGTGGTTCTCCAACTCTTTCGCAAATTAATACAAAGGCCAGAAATAGACTCGACAGTCAAGATGACATGAGATTGGCTTTGAAAAAAACTCAACCAAAAATTCCAAAACATGTTACGCGGATGCAAACTCAGTAATTTGTTTATTATTTATTAATGGGTAGAGGGGGTCGTGACCTTATAAGGAAATCTGAAAAAGGGTCGTGACTAAAAAAAGGTTGGGAACCACTGATCTACACCAATGTTGAAAGGTGATTTTATTGAAATATTGCTGCAAAAAATAGCTGCATGAATTTTCTTCAACAGGCAAACATCTTGTACACTTACACGAATAACTAAATTACATCATATTATTATTAAAAACTCAAAATTTTCCACTTATATCCTGACCATGGTCCATGAGACCGGTTTAAAATCACTCCATCCACAATCCAATGGATATGCGTTCCAGCGTCCTGCGACTCCAGCAAAAAGCAGCAGAAGCAGCAGTCTCCTGTCGATGTGCGCCGAGTAAAGACAACTTCCCGCAATACCGCTTTCCGCTCAGCTTCAGCTGCGAGTGTAAAATAGTGCGCTTCTAGTTCATCCCTTAATGCTCTACGGAACCGTAAAATATTACTCGAATCCCGGTCTAGTTTTCGCACACGACTTATTGTAAGTTGGATACTTCCAAATTGCGACGGAAATAAGTGTTTTTTGATGGATTAAATAGTTTCGAGTCATTGAACATTTCGGTAAGTGAAATTTTTTTTTTCAACAATTATAATTGTGTTCGAATAATTTCAATAATACCCACTTTCGCTGCTAAATTATCATAAAAAGCAACAGTTTAGTAAAAAATAGGGTCTCAAACGAAAGAAAATAAGCTTGAACGTGATTTTCAAAAACTGATATCTCATCAATTTCTTAGCGGTAGGTAATGATTTTAAGGATTTCTTTAAGCTTAGGGGTTCAATTTTATAAATCGTTTCAATAAAAAGCTTGACTAATTCAAAGAGGTTTTTGTTTTTCATGTCGACATGAATTTTAATGAAAGATTCATTAGATAATTCTTGGTTTTTTCGCAAAATGAACCTATAATTCAGAAACAATTAACCTGCAGCTTTTCGCATGTAAATTTTAAATGATATTGTACCATTAAATTATAGTTTCTATAAAAGGTAGTCATAATTTGACTAGAAGGCTATGAAATCATATTAGAAATTAGTAAGCAGGTAGCTTCGTAAGAATTTAATATTAAGCTATTTATATACCAAATGAGTTAAATTAATGCTCATTCATGACCAGAAAATTTGGATCACGAGCCCGTAGGGTGAGTGTGCTAATCTCTGCTAATAAATAAACATTTGATCGTGCGAGAAAGTGCACTATTCCGAACGCTTGTGGAAGAAATAGATTTCCTAACTCCAGCGGAAAGTCTTTTTTGCTTGATTGCTTGTCCAAACTGCGATACGTCGATCGGCCAACTGCAATCGCGTGCGGAAAAGTGGCACTTTCTGCACTAGGAAATATACTATAATATCATGTATACAATATTGTATTCCATTTTGATGGAAATTCAAGAAATAAAGTAAAAGGAATCAGGTATATTGTAGCAGAGAGTAAGTGAGACTAGTGAGAGTGAAAAAAGCCACATTCCCGTTTCACTATTGCCAGGCTCGGCTTGCTCATCCAGAAATCTTTAACTTTTCCTACGATATACTATTTGCTCAAACGCAATTTGAAAGAAAATGAAAACTATAAATTTCTCTAGGTAGCAAAACTGCTCCATAGTATTAAATTTAAGTTCAATAGAGTGAGGTTCCATTCAATGAGTGTGGCAGCCAGTGTGTATGAAGGAGCGAACCGAGTAAAGCGAGCAGTAGCTTTAAAGCATCACAAGTAGTTAAGTAAACCCATTTGCAGAAGCCGGACTCACCATATTGGCAGCGCTGGGCTGAAAAAGGTACTTATGGGTATATTTCTTACACAAAACTGGTGTCCAACGCATTTTAATAGGCCAACGGGTGGCAAAGTGGCACTTTGCGTTTGGGGGTCATAAATGACTATGAAAATGCAAAAACTCCTTTATTATGATATATATGCATAGATCCACAGTATTGTTAACAATATTATTATTAAATTTCATGTGGAAATTTTTAATTAAAAATCTATGTACAAGGAAAAAAAAATCCAGCCCATTACCACATATTTTCTTCGATAATTAAAACTTTGCTCCGGATATGCTAGCATACAGCGCAAGTTAAGCCAATTAAAAATCTACCCTGCCGTGCTGACGCTTTAATTAAAATATATTTACATACTCATAGTTCATCGCTTAGGTAAACCATACCTCTAGTCTAGCCAGCCACTAGCCAGCTTATTACTCAGCAACTTTCAGTTTGCTGTCTGCTTTTTACGGTATATTTATTGAAGTTTATTTGTCTTCAAAACTAATGGTTTGAGAAATCTAATTTTCTTGGGCTTGAACTCTGCAATTTCTCATTTCTTTATTAAGAAAATGGTTTTCAATCACCTTTAGTTATTAGTTAAAAGACCAAATCGATTTTCTTTTATTGAATTCTCAATTAATCCATTATTGGGAAGTAAAATCTTAATATACATCTTGCATTCTACTCATTTCAATATTGAAATGAAAAGTTCAGATCTTCTTTGGACAATTGAGGAAACCCACCTATTTGAAATATTATTTCTTCAAATCTTAACTTTTTAAAACGTCCACTATGGAAAAGAAAAGTAAATGTTGCAACCATATAGGCGCTGTGAAGTTTTTGGGAACGGGGCGCGCCACAAAAAACGAAAGTACCGAAGGGAAGATAGAAAATGAGAGACTAGAGAAGACGGTTGTTCTGCCATTGTTCATTATTCAATTTTTATTTTGTATTAAACTGAATGTTCAATCCAATTTGTGATTAGTTTGTGTGTCATAAGGAGCATTCTCAGGTCAGTTGAGTAAATGTTAGTTGTTTTTGAGAGTTTTTTTTTTTTCATTTTTATGTTTTTTGTTTGTTTGTAACATTTTTTATAACGTGCATTGTTCATGTATCTAACAAAAATCGTTTCATGCTGTGAAAAACGCAGATAAAGAGTAAATTATAGAAAAATTATGTGCTGTCTTTTGTGCTGGGATTTTGATTTTTGGCATTCAGAACGTGCATTAGGGCCTTGTTGAATCTACTAACATTTTCCTACCCTGACGAGCGAATATCCTAGGAAACAAATTGAAAAATCAATCTAGAAATATTGGCTCAAAATAACAACTATAGCTGAGTAGCCTCCTGTAACCAGGGACCTCAGTACCTGCTGGTGGAACTGACTAACTAACCAAAAACTCTTCAGTATTGAATATAGGTGATCTCGATTGAATGTAGTGCGTGGAATTGAAATTTTTAGCACAAGGACAGGGACGCTACCTTATTTTCAGTAACTATTGAATTATTGACACACAATTATTTATTAAAATGACACAGTATATTTTGATTTTTGAGGTATGTTAGATCGAGGGTTTCTCTGCCGTGCTCTTTCCCCTCGTGAGTTCCAGGTCGAAAACGTTACGACTTTCTCTAATAATGAATTAAACGTTTCACAAATTTTTCGTTTATTTTACATATCACAACATACCTTAAATTTCCCTAATTTTGCTATTGTCGAGCGCATGTCAAGTAAGTAAAATTGAGTAATTTTCCACAGCGTAGATCCTATTTGTTTTTCATTCCGTTTTTCAGAAGATTTGATAAAAGAAGAGGTTATAAACATCCACACCGTTCAATCTTGCTGAACGAACCTGGGTGTATTATACTACACAATAGGTTTCTTGCATGAATGAATGCTCAACTATATTTTTTTCGATTTTTTTTCGGACTTGCAAAGGCTCTAAATTTCGATTTGAAGTTCAAATTTCTGATTGGTCAGTTTTAGCCAGTGTTGCCCAGATGTTATGGTTTTCATGTCAACTTTTCCTGACAGGGACAACTACATCGATATATCAAATCCACAGTAAGTATCGGACGGAATATGGAATCGATTCTCATTCCTATGAAAAACTTAACCCAACTTTTTAATTCATTATAATCATTATTTATTTTTATTTATTAGCCTGTCCAAAACTCCAAAACAGGCAGAAGGCAGTGAAGGCCCACAAACAATCAAGAAATAAACCATAAACCCGACCATAAGGTCATTGTATCGTTCATAATTAAATACCTAGGTACTCATTTTCTAGTGTGTGTGTCTAAATTTTTAGAACTTTCTACCCAATCAGCATATAAGAGAATCATTGTTTGGGAAAAGTTGCTCTACCTGCATTTTACTAATACCTACCTACCTACCTATACCCTTCATGTGAATTTTTTTCCGAAAGCATATCCATGCTCACCTCTAGCCAGTTTCCGGGATCGGCTTCTACAAACCCTTTTTCATCCTTTTTCACAAACAAAATAAACAATAATCACCTAACTAATAAAATTATTGTTATTTTTCTTTTAAGTGGTTTATGAGAAATAAAGCGAGTATAATTTGTATGTGTCTGTATGCCATACCTACCAGTTTCTCTAAAGAGTTAAAGACTGTCTTTTTACATTTTCACAGGTAAAACATCCTTTTTCTTTTTTCTTCAAATAACACTGCTTCAGCCTGCTGTTTTTTGTGGTTAATTATTGTTTATTTTGTTTGTGATGGAATATGGGGAGAAAAAGTTTGTTAAAAGCCGAGATAGGTAAATTGGCCAGGGGTCACTGACCTAATAGTAAAAAAATTACAATAACCCCTTTTATCGTTTTCGTACTTTATACTGTGCCGGATTAGTTCAGATACCGATTTCTCTGTCCAATTCGCATTTAGACAAGGAAAGAAAATTGTCGATACTAGTTGATACTTCAATAGATGTCGTTATTCTCTCTCAAGTCAAAAGTAGGGCTGTACCAAAGTCGATAAGCAAAGCGATTTTGATATAAGGTACCTGACCCAAATAAGGCCATGTACCTAATAAGGCCAGTGCCCTTTATTGCTTTATATTGGATCCCATTTTCAAAAATTATAATATTATTCAAAAAGAAATCCATAATGCAAATTAAAAATTATTGCGAGGGTTCCTAGCAACTCGTTATATGCCGAAAAATGGTCAACCACATATTTCATATGTCACGTTATAACTTTGAGGCTGGAACTTAATTAGTTTATACACATGTTTATAAAGTTAATGGAGCGAATATAATTTTTTAATGGACATTTATGTATTGAGAAAGCTACAGAGTAAGTACAGAATAATATCTTTGCTAGATTTCTAGTTACAGACTTTTTTTCATCAATTTAACATGTTCCTGATAAGGCCATCATACGAAAAATGTTCAATTGGCCTCACATCACAGTGTTTTTTTGAAAGAATGTGTCATATTATTACCTCAGTGATGTTTTTTGAAATGCCTGGAGTCTCACCAAGAGATGCTGCGGATCATTTATTTGTTCTGGTTGTATGTAAACCTGTTTGGATCACCATCCCAGAACTTGGAATTATTGTTTTTTTAAGAATGCAGCAAACGTATAAGTTCTATTTTGTGTACTATTTCTCAAATAATAATATTTTTATAAATAATTGCATTTATTTTAAACAATTTTTATTGGTGGCCTTATTAGGAGCATAGTGATCCAAATAAGGCCAATGGAACGCGTTTTTGTTTTACGCAAAATCATCACTTATATAAAAAAAAAAAAAATTGGAGTTAATATTCAAGTAATA